TTTTTGAGACAGGATCTCACACATTAGCTTAGACTGGACCAGAACTTGCCTCAGCCTCCTGAGTTCTAGGAATACTGGTGTGAGTCACTATGCCTGACCCAGGGACTCTAACTCTAAATTTAAATGTCTGACAACTTGCTATCTTTGGTGGGTGTCACTTATCCATCTTAAGTTTGGGGTTTTTGAAGCAAGGTTTCTCTGTATAGCCCTGACTATCCTGGAACTCGCTCTGTAGACCAGGCTGGCCTCAAACTCAGAGGTCTACCTGGCTCTGCCTCCCGAGTGCTGGGATTAAAAGGCATGTACCACCACTGCTCATCTCAAGTTTTATGTATTGAAAGGAGCTCTTGAGTCCCCACTGCCCTTTAAATGTTTTCCTTCTAGCCTTTTGAGAAGATGGTACCATTATTGTCCAGTTGCCCAGTCCAGAAACATGGAAACTACTTTCCTCTGGCATCTGCTCATGTTGGGTCATGAATCCTGACAAAGTGGATCCTAAGATTATCCTTTCCTGTCTGTCTTTCTGCCACTAGCTTCTTCTGAGCTGGTTACTAATCAAGCTGTCTGTGGTGGGGAAGTGTTTTTAACTTGATTCAGGGGAGCAGATACTCTAGTTTGTGCTAAATTTAACTAACAGCATGAGTCCCCTGACTAACTGCTTTCTAAACTGTGTATTGAGATATGCCCATTGACTGCAGGCTGAGGGGGAACAATGGAAGATGGCAGGGAATGTTTCTTTCTTTCTTTCTTTTTTTTTTTTTCAAGACAAGGTTTCTCTGTGTAGCTTTCAAGCCTGCCCTGGAACTTGCTCTGTAGACCAGGCTGGCCTTGAACTCACAGAGATCCACCTGCCGCTGCCTCCCAAGTGCTGGGATTAAAGGTGTGCACCACCACCACCTGGCTAGGGAATTTTTCTTAATGTTAAGGAGAACTGGTAACAACCAGTTCTCAGGTGTGCTGAGCATGGTTTGAGCCTTTCCTGGAGTCTATCTGGCTGCTTGCTTTTACAGAGGATCTTGTCTAATGGTTTCCACAGAGCTGCCAGAATGCTCTTGCAAAGTAGAAAGAGATCTTATCATTTCCCTGTGCAAAATCTCTTAAGGAATAAAGTCTGTCGATGGGGAAAATCCTGTTCAACCAGCCTCCTGCTTATCTTCCCTTCCTCGTCTTTCAGTACTCATCCAGTCTTTGGAGATCCTCTGTAAACCAGAATCGTGCTTAGCAACCACGCTTAACCTAGACTTCTCCATTGTAACCTGGATGCCTCCCCATCTTGAGTTTCAGCTTAAATCTTACTTCCTCAGGGTGTGCAGACTACTCCAGCAGAAACAGCTGCTCACTCTCTGGTCTTCATTCAGTATGCCTCCTTTATAACACTTACTGCATTGATTTATTGATAGGTATGCATTGTTTAAAGATGAAGGTGTGAAGGTCACTGGGCAGTTTCACCATTTTGTGAACATGACCAAGTGTACTTGCTTATTTATGCTAGATAGATTGCCCCAATAGGCATGGAGGCTGTGCAGACTATTGCTCTTAGACTCCAGCAGCACATACTACTGCTTTGTGGAATACAGTATGCAGTTGCACCATAGTGCATCTGTTCCTATCCACACAGGTTTGTTTACACTAATGTCACCACCTCCTGGAGTAATACGGTGTGCTTTTTTCCTTTAGGCACTAGAGTTTATCACCATTGTAATCTTAGAGGACTGCCAGTTGGTGGTCTCTTACTGAACTGAAACATCACGAGAGGCATGTCTGTGCTTGTGTTCACTGTCTCTTTCCTGTTCTTCATGTAAGCACGAGAGCATACGTGCCTTCCAGCCCTGTTTGTCAAAAGACTAAGTTTGGATTAAGCAGGAATGAGTGGTCAGGGAGGTTGGTGGAGCAGAGCAGGTCTTTGAGGATACAACGGGAGTTGAATACTGACTTACTGAATTTCAAATGGATTTAAAGTACGTGCAAACCCAAGGTTTGGTGGAGATCGAGTACTCAGCACTGCTGTGGAGCTGGCTTTGCCACTGTTCAGGAGCTTGAGCAGGTGCCTTCTTGGACCTATTTTCTTTCTTTCTTTTTCTTTTTTTTTAAATAATTTATTTGAGTATATCTTATGTGCATTGGTGTGAAAGTGTCAGATCCCCTGGAATGTGAATTACAGACAGTTGTGAACTGCCTTGTGGGAGCTGGGAATTGAACTCGGGTTCTCTGGATGAGCAGCCAGTGCTCTTACCCTCTGAGCCATCTCTCCAGTCCCTGCACCTATTTTCATTACACCAAAGGAGGAGGCTTTTTTTTTTTTTTTTTTTTTTTTTTTTTTTTTGGTTTTTCGAGACAGGGTTTCTCTGTGTAGCTTTGCGCCTTTCCTGGAGCTCACTTGGTAGCCCAGGCTGGCCTCGAACTCACAGAGATCCGCCTGCCTCTGCCTCCCGAGTGCTGGGATTAAAGGCGTGCGCCACCAACGCCCGGCATGGGGAGGCATTCTTGAGGATGAGGAGTGCATCTGTTTTCCTTGTCACCACCCTACATGTTCTTGTCATTCCACAGTCTTTGTTCTGAAGTACATTGAGAATGAAAACTTCACAAAGGTAAAAGATAGACTAGCTGAATTATGTGTTTTAAATCTTTTAGGTTTTTAAGTTTTATGTCTGTGAGTGTTTTGGCTCCATGCATGTGAGTGATGTAAGTCACATATGGGTCTGGTGCCCATGGAGGTCAGAAGAGGGCATCAGGTCTCCTGGAACTGGAGCTATAGACAGTTGTGAGCCACCATGTGGTGCTGGGAACTGCTGAGCCATCTTTGCAGTCCCTGAAGCAGGTATTTTGTCTCTGATAGGTTTTTAATCTTATTTATTATTTATGAAATAGTGGTTTTGGGGGCTGGAGAGATAGATGTCTCCTCTGTTAAGAGCACTTGCTGCTCTTTCAGAAGACCTGGGTTGATTCTCAGCAGGACGCAGAAAAGGCTCCGGCTACAACATGGTGACTCAACTTCCTTTAGCTCTGACTTCACGGGATCAGATGCTCTTTTCTGGCCTCGGTGGGCAACAGACACACACACAGTACTTGCATACATAAAGACAAGCACTCATACACGTAAGAATAGATACATCTTTTATATGTGTGTCTGTGTTTATATAGATCCATGTCTTTGCTCTCAGTATCTACAATCTCACATCCAGGAGTTGAACTAACCAGGGGTTGAAAACCTTCAGAAATGGGCCGTGGATGTAGCTCATTGGTAGAGCACTTGCCTAGGATATGTGAGGGAGGTCATAGGTTTAATCTGTTACTGCCCCCTCCCATGCCTTCAGGAAAACATAGGTATCTGCACTGAATATAGACAGATGTTTCTTTGTCATTTCCTATGTAACACAGAAGTAACTATTGTATTAGGATAATGGCATGGTTTAAAGTTTATTAAATGGCAAATGCTATGTCATTTAAGTAGTGGATTTGGGGATCCTTTTTTTTTAGTTTTTCTTGACAGGGTTTCTCTGTGTAGCTTTGTCCCTTTCCTGGAACTCGCTTTGTAGACCAGGCTGGCCTCGAACTCACAGAGATCTGCCTGCCTCTGCCTCCCCAGTGCTGGGATTAAGGGCGTGCGCCACCACCGCCGGCTGGGGATTCTTATATATCTGGTTTCCATGGTGGATCTGGAACCAATCTCCCACTGTCATGGTGGCATATAATTTCAGCACTCTGGAGGTAGAGGTAGGAGGATCAGAAATCCAAGTTCATTCTTGGTTACACAGTGAGTTTGAGACCTCCTTGGGTTACATAAGATTGTCTTAAAAAAGTTATATGTGTGTGTATATACATATATATATGTATATATATATGTGTGTGTATATACATATATATATGTATATATATATGTGTGTGTGTGTGTGTGTGTGTGTGTGTGTACACACATAACACACACTGTCAAAGTAACATTTATTTTGTAAAAGAACTTAAATAAAATTATATTTGTAGTTCATTTTCTAGTTTTAAAATTCTGTAATCTTGGTATTTTGCTGTCCTATTTACAATGTCTTTTTATATTTATTATTTTTGTCTGTAATACCTGTACTTGTAAGGTCAGAGGATAACTTGTAGGAGACAGTTTTCTCCTTTCACTATGTGGGTTCCATGGATTGAACCCAGGTTCTTAGGCTTGGTGGCAAGTGCCTTTACCTGCTAAGCCATCTTGTTGGCCCTTGCTACTTTAAATGTATCTTTATAAAGAGGAAGTAGAAGGCAGTGGACGGGGGTGGTGGTGCATGCTAGTGATAGTAGCAGAGGCAGGAAGATCAAGTTCTAGGCCAGCCATGAATACATAACAGACTCTTTCATACAAACATACTCCAAAAAAGAAAAAAACAACACTTGAAATTTTTAATAAATTAAATTGGGGGGTGGGTAGGTGGGAATACAAGGTTTCTCTGTATAGCCCTGGCTGTCCTGGAATTCACTCTGTAGACCATGCATGCTGGCCCTGAACTCACAGAGATCCATCTGCCTCTGCTTCCTGAGTGCTGGGATTAAAGGAGCATGCCGCCACTGCCCAACATAAATTCAAGATTATAGGTCTTTACCTTGTGTTTTTGCTTTGTTAACAGGGTTTCACACTATGGCCCAGTCTGGCCTGTAGTTCTCTGTGTAGCCCAGGCTGCCATCATGGCAAACTTCCTGCCTACACCTTGTGATACAGAGGCTGAAACAGTCACTTTCTTTTTTGGGGGGGGGGGTTGGATTTTGGAGACAGGGTTTCTTTGTGTAGTTTTGGTGCCTGTCCTGGATCTCACTCTGTAGACCAGGCTGGCCTCTAATTCACAGAGATCCACCTGTTTCTGCCTCCCAAGTGCTGGGATTAAAGGCGTGTGCCACCACCGCCCGGTAAATGTTCACTTTTGATCAGTCTTAATCTATGCACCATTAGTGGACTTGCCTTTACTCAGTGCCTGGACTGAAAGTATTTGTTATGATGGCTGTGATTTATGTATGTTGTGACTACTGAAGGCTCCAGTTTTTTCTTTACATGTCTCGATTTGAAAGCTCACAGCAGAAACATTTCAAGTGTAGAACAGATACAGTTCTAGTCTAGTGGAATTTGATGTGTTTATTTTTCTTTTCTCCACAGACTCAGTATTCATTTAAGCGGGTATTTGGCACTCATACCACTCAGAAGGAACTTTTTGATGTTGTGGCTAGTCCATTGGTAGATGACCTCATTCATGGCAAGAATGGTATGATTCTTGGAGTTTAGTTGAATTCTCTGTTTAATCTTGTGGTGAAGCTTTTAATATTTATATATTTGGTTTGACATTAAATTCAGATTTAACTCATTAGAGTGATGCCCTTTTTTGGGTTTGTTAATTTAAGTGTTTTAAATACAATGAAATGTTTTGTGGGACTTTAAGACTATAACTTCTTGTTGTTGCTATACTGTAGGTCTTTTGTTTACATATGGTGTTACGGGAAGTGGAAAAACTCACACAATGACAGGTTCTCCAGGGTACGGAGGCCTGCTTCCTCGCTGTTTGAACATGATCTTTAACAGCATAGGGTCGTTTCAAGCAAAACGTTACGTAAGTACAATTCCTTTGGGTTGTGACTGTCACTGTGGACACAGGACTGAGACATCTGGATACAGTGACTCTTTTGGGTTGTGACTGTCACTGTGGACACAGGACTGAGACATCTCTGGATACATGATACTGAGGAAGAATAAAAGCACTGGAGCTGCTTTGACTCTTCCATGTGTTCAGATGTGGTGGGCATGGCGGGTCTGCCTGTGACGCCAGCAGTTGGGTGGTAGAGCAAGAGCATCGAGACTTGCAGGCCCAGCAGCTCTGCCCTCCCCAGAGTTGAAATGTTAAATGCTTCCTGTTTTTAAATGTTGCTATTCCGTAAGTAAAATTTGTTTCAAAAGTCCTTTTTGCCCCTATTGTAGGTTTTTAAATCTAATGATCGGAACAGCATGGAAATACAGTGTGAAGTTGATGCCTTATTAGAACGGCAGAAAAGAGAAGCCATGCCCGTTCCAAAGACCCCCTCTAGCAAGTGAGTAACTTCATGTGCAGCACTGACTCCGGGTGGGTGGAATTCCATCCTACGGTTTCTGGAGCTTGGGGAAGGTGACTATGAATTAGAGAAGTTAGTCTTACAGTTGACTTTTGTGAGGTCAGGGTTGAGGCATGTTTTTGACTGCTCTAGTATTTTGTCTGTGAGTTGGGGAAGGTGAGTGCCTGTGCTACGAATCTCCAGGGCTCGGCTGTCCTTGACCCACCTTGAATCTGAATAAAGTTGCTTTATGATTTCAATTATAAATGGTAGAACATTTATTAAGAGTTTTTCCACTCTGGTACGGTTTCAGTTAGGGTGTTTTGTGTGTGTGTGTGTGTGTGTGTGTGTGTGTGTGTGTGTGTGTGTGTGTGTGGTTTTCAAGACAGGGTTTCACTTTGTAGACCAAGCTGGGATTAAAAGACGTACACCACACCCGGCAATTCAGTTAGGTTTCTATTGCTGTGATAAAATGCCCTAAACAAAGCAGCTTGGTGGAAGAAAGGATTTATTTCATCTTTCACTTCCAAGTCCAAATCACTGAGGGAAGTCAGGACAGGAATTCAAGCAGGAGCTGATGCAGAAGCCATGGAAGAATGCTGTTTACCAGTTTACTTCCTGTGGCTTGCTCAGCCTACTTTCTTATACAACCCAGGACCACCTGCCCAGGGTTGGTACTACCCTCCCACATCAATGATTAATCAAGAAAATGCTAGGCAGACTTGCCTTTTGACCAAGGCTCATGGAGATATTTTCTCAGTTGAGAGCCCCTTTTCCCAAAGACTCCAGCTTGTGTCAAATTGACATAAAAGCAGCCAACACAGGTATCTATTTTTGATATTAACTCTCAATGGGTAAAATCTGACTTTGATGGATCTGTTTCTTGTTTTAGGCGACAGGCAGATCCAGAGTTTGCAGATATGATAAATGTACAAGAATTCTGCAAAGCAGAAGATGTTGATGAAGACAGTGTCTATGGTGTATTTGTCTCTTACATTGAAATCTATAATAATTACATATATGATCTATTGGAAGAGGTGCAGTTTGATCCCATAAAGCCCAAGTAAGTAGTGAAGAGAGTCTCTTCAGGTAACACTGGAAAACTACCCCCAGCAATCCCTGGTTTCTGCAGGTATAAATGGGGATAATGCCTACATTTGTTTTCAGAATGCACAGAAATTGTGTAGTCATGCTCAATGAATACTTTTATTTATTATATATATAGTATTCTGCCTGCATGTTTGCCTGCAGGCCAGAAGAGGGCAGAGATCCCATTACAGATGGTTGTGAGCCACCATATGGTTGCTGGGAATTGAACTCAGGACCTCTGGAAGAGCAGCCAGTGCTCTTAACCACTGAGCCATCTCTCCAGCCTGAATACTTTTATTCCTAACTAGATTGTAGCTGTATTAGGAAACCAACAGGTTAAGGTATAGTGACCTGAAGATCCATCTTGGAAATTGCTTTTGAAAACTTAGCCGTAGGTTTTAGACAAATAACTATTTTATAGACAGTGTTGGGGGCATCTTTTAACACCGTGATAGTGCTGGGGCTTTTGCAGTCTCTTTACCTGTCTGTGTCTAGGGGATCTCTATAGAGTTGGTCCTTGTCTGTGCAAGTAATTCTTAGCTCATCCACTGGGGATTAGTGTAAAGCCACATTGCATTGTCATTCTGTGAGAGGTAAGTGCTACTCCTTAGATATCTGTAGGTCTTGAGAATCTGAAGACCAGTTACCATGTAGCTTTACAGAAGTACCTCTCTTTGTGCCAGGGCTGATTCACAGATCTTGTGTCTGATGAATGGTACATTGTCCTTGAGTGGGTGGTTTTGTTCTTGAGCTAAAGGCTGGTCTTGCATACTGTGTTTCATTGCAGCCAATTAAAACAAATGATATGAAGACCTTTGTCTTACATATAACATTTGTATATGTGTAAAGGGACATTACTGTGGAAACAGCTGGATTTAGAAAACATTAAACTGAGAACAGACTGATGTCTGCTTATGTCAGTATGTTCACTAATATGAAAAGTGCATGACTGGTTGAACCCTTACTTAATTTCTATGACAGGAATTCTGTTTGAAACATGATTTTGTAAAATAACTATAAGTTGCCAGGTGAATTAACTCTGAAGGTCTTAGGTCTTGCTTCACTCAGCTGTTCTTCAGATGAGAGCTGCTTTGTTTTTGAGGCAGTGTTACTGCATTGCACTCCAGTTCCATGTGGTCCTCCCGTGTCAGCTCCCAGCGCTGGGTTAGCAGTGTGCACCGCCAAGCCCAGCCTCAAACACAAACTGTAGGAAGGGGCTTCCTTTTGGGGTTACCTGTCTGGCTTTGAATGTTGGAACGAAAAGAGAAGTACCTGGGTTAAGTTACAGAGAGGAAGAAGAGTGTGGTCTTGGCAATGCCTTTTATAGTAAATTACTTTCCCACTTGAGCACATATTTTCATGTGTGTTTTAAACTGTCCTTTGTTGCAATTCCAGCTTTGTGTGTACCTGTTTTATCTAAACTTTTGTGAAGTCATTCATTACTACCAATTAACCCCCCCCCTTTTTCTTTCTTTTTTTTTTTTTTTTTTTTTTTGGTTTTTGAGACAGGGTTTCTCTGTAGCCTTGGAACCTATCTTGGTACTCACTCTGTAGACCAAGCTGGCCTTGAACTCACAGAGATCCACCTGTCTCTGCCAGGATTAAAGGCATACTCTACCACTGCCCAGCTTTTTTTTTTTTTTTTCTCAAGACAGGGTTTCTCTGTGTAGCCCTGGCTGTCCTGGAACTCACAGAGATCTACCTGGTTCTGTCTCCCAAGTGCTGGGATTAAAAGTGTGCTCCATCACTGCCTAGCAATTTCCTTTTTTTTTTTTTTTTTTAAAGTTAGTCTCACCATGTAGACCATGCTATCCTTGAACTCACAGAAATCCACCAGGCTCTGCCTCCCAAGTGCTGGGATTAAGAGCATGCTTCACCATGCCCAACACTACTAATTATTTTTATATCTCTTTTGTTTGCAATTTGTTTGGCTTTTCTAAGTGATATTGTTTCAACTGATACTGTCTGGTTTTCTTTAGTCATGCAAAGGAAACAGCCAGAGTGCCTTCCTGGGGTATCTTTCGAGAGCACTTAGAAGGGAGCCTATTTAGCACTGATTGTGGATTTAATGTGAGGATAGTGTTAGCTCTCCTTTTCTGAGGGGTTAATTTTTATTAGTTTTTGATGCAGTGAAAGAGTCTCGCAAGTAGAGGTTTTTGAAATCTCCATCATCACTGTCACTAGTCTAGACTGAAACGTTGCTGCAGGATGGCTACTCTAGAACAGTAATGTCTGCCTTATTCCTTTGGTAGGTGGAACGGCTGCAGTACACCTATGAGGAACCCAGAGTCTGTGTATGTGATGATATTGACTCTTCTTAAGGAGAAGGGTGTAGTTAACACTAGTGGGGGGCATATTTCACATGTTTGTAGTTTGCTTTTCTTTGGCACCCGGCAGGCTGCTACCTCTAAACCCTCCTTTCTTTTAGAAAATCTCCCCTTCATTATCAGTGATGCTGGCTGGTAAATGTCCCCATCCTCACCAGTCACAAAACAGAGAGTGTGGCTGATGAGACAGCTCAGCAGGTAAAGGTGCTTGCTGCCAAGCCTGACCACCTGAGTTCCATCCCTGGAACCCACATGGTAGAAGGGAAGAACTGACTTGTAAGTTGTCCTCTGACCTCCACACATTCAATTCCAGATAAAGAAAATTATTAAAACATAGGGCTGGAGAGATGGCTCAGTGGTTAAGAGCACTGGCTGCTCTTCCAGAGGTCCTGAGTTCAATTCCCAACACCCACATGGCAGCTAACAACTGTCTGTAACTCCAAGATCTGACACCCTCACACAGACATACATACAGGCAAAACACTAGTGTATATAAAAGAATAATAAATAAATTTTAAAAAAAGAAAATTAATTAAAACATAGGGCTGGAGAGATGGCTCAGTGGTTAAGAGCACTGGCTGCTCTTCCAGAGGACCTGTGTTTGGTTCTCAGCACCTACGTGGTGGCTCACAACCATCTGTAACTTCAGTTCCAGGAGATCCAGTGCCCTCTTCTAGTTTCTGTGAGTGCTAGCCACACATGTGGCACACAGATTTACATATAAGCAAAACACCCATACATGTAAAACAAAAGCATTTTTTAAAAAATCAACTAAAACAGAACATGCAAGCACCCTTACCTAATCTTAACTGACTGCAAACTAAAACTTAGCAAGCCACTTTGCAGGGGTGGTCACTCTGGGCATACACTAAGTCCTTTCTGAATTCTTCTTCTGCATTGCTTTGAAGGTCAGAGCCAGTTGAATATTCTGGTCTTTTAAATGAGGAAAGTGCTAGACTGTGTTGTATAGTCTGTGCTGCATACGATAGTGCTGTAGTACTGTTGCAGTCTAATTGTCTATTGTTTTGTGTGCTTTTTAGGGTGGCTTAGAGCATACTTTAAAACCAGAATTGGTTCCTGCTTTATAACTAACCTTGACTGTATAATCATGTTTTGGTTTTTAAGTCTACCATTTCTTTGGGGATCTTCTGTAACTTCATGTCCATTAAAGAAAGGATGTCATGGGAGCATGTGTGTTCTGTCTCACTATGTGGTGTCTTTATCATAACACTGCAAGAAGGCCCTCCTCGGGTGCCAGCACTACACACAGGGACTCTCCAGCTTTTAGAACCACAGGATAAATTGGAGAAAAGCTGGGCATGTGCTCAGTGGTGGAGCTCTTGGCTAACATGCATGAGCTTGCGTTCTGTCAGTGGTGTTGAGGTGCAAGGGGATGTTGTGTTGCTGGACACTTGAACCTCAGTCTTAAAGGAGGACAGTTGTATCTCCTTTAGGAAACTAACCATTTCTTTCTTTCCCATAGACTCCCACAATCCAAAATACTCCGAGAAGATAAGAACCACAATATGTATGTTGCAGGATGTACAGAAGTAGAAGTGAAATCTACAGAAGAGGCTTTTGAAGTTTTTTGGAGAGGTTAGAAATAACTAGAATTTGAAAAACGTAAACTGATGGTTTTAACCTTCAGAGTAGTTGCTGAAATTTAATAGTAGTCCTTTGGGATTAATTGGAAAGCAGGTATAATAAGTGGCTGAGTTCAGGTGTAATCAATGACTTCTCTGTCATCATAGGTCAGAAAAAGAGACGTATTGCTAACACCCATTTGAACAGAGAATCTAGCCGTTCGCATAGTGTGTTCAGCATTAAACTCGTCCAGGCTCCCCTGGATGCCGATGGAGACAATGTCTTACAGGTAATGTTTGAATGTGAATCTTGTCTTTTCTAATTCAGCCCTAAGGTTTTGGAAGATGACCTAAATTAGGGACTACCATGGTGATGCAGATTGCTCTAGAGTTAATAGCTGTATAGCCAATGACTTCTTTTTTTTTTTTTTTTATGTCAATAGTGCTGTTTCTGGGCTCTGCCTATTGAGTGATCCTAGTGCATAGCATGTGTGGCACACGCAGTCTGCTGTGTTGTGAAAAGGGTCTGCAGAGTTTTAAACATCTGTAAGAATGTGTTGCATTGTTTTAGGTGCTGTTTTGCCTTGTGAGACAGGGTCTCATGTAATGAGCCCAGGATGACCCTGAACATTTGTTGGTTTGTTTTCTCCTTTATTTCTGAGATCATAGTGTTAACTACATCATTTTCCCCTTCCCCTTCTTCTCCCCAAACCCTCCTGTAAGACTTCTCCTTGCTGGTTTTCAAATCCATGGCCTCTTTTGCTTGTTTCTTTTCTCACTATCTAGGCAAGGCTGGCCCCAGACCATAGGGATCCACCTGCCTCAGTCACCCAACAGCCGCAATTAAAGGCACGTGCTACCTTACCTGGCTTTGTTTTTGGTTTTCACTGTGTAGCCTGGAGCTCAGAATTTTTCTGCCTCAGCCTCCCCTGCTAAGACTAAAGTCTTGTTTCACTGATTGTGACTTAAACTGTTTAATGTGGCCATGTCCAGGCTGTCAGGAAAGTGCTGCGGTTCACTAGTATTTGAATTCTGATTCCTACCTATTCTCCTTTGTCTGACCTGACTATAAGAGAGCCTTCTCATAAGGTTGTCAGAATTAAGAGAAGCCGTGTGAAGTTTCTTGGCCACTGCTTGGATTATAGTCAGTCCTCAATAAATGTTAGTTAGAAAATGGCCACAGACAATTCTTCCCCTGGTTTCTGTGAATTACTATTCTGGTGCTAGGGATGTGAATTACTGCTAATAGCATAATGCCATTTAGGTGCTTCTTGACTTCCATTTTTTTCTTAAAGCTTTATTTGTATATGATGTGTATGAGTGTTTTGCCTGCATATATGTCTGTGCACCACAGTATGGGAGCCTGGTGCTTGTGGAGGCCAGATGAAGGCATCAGATCCCCTGGAGTTACAGGCTGCCATGTGGGTGTAGTTGGCACCTCTCTCTACAAGAGCAGCCAGTGCTCTTAACCATTGAGCATCTGTCCACCCTGACTTTCATTTCTTTGTATAAGTTAGAGGACTCTGAAATTATTAATGTTATTTTAAATAGGCTTTCTTTTGTGTGTGTGTGTGTGTGTGTGTGTGTGTGTGTGTGTGTGTGTGTGTGTGTGTTTCTGAAGAGGAGCTCAATACTTGGACTCCTGGAATACTAAATACCTGGTGATAGCAAAATGGAACAGACTCCCTGTTCTCAAGGAATCCTCTAATGTCTGCTCTGAGGCAGCAGACAAGTATTCAGTGTTATGAGCTTTTAAGCAAACTCTCCTGTATCATCATCCTCTGCCATTCTGGGCATTTGTATTGCATACATACAGCGTCCAATAAGACTTAATATACCATGTTAACTGGACCTTAATATTATAGTGCATTATAACTTAGCTTAGATTGTTGGCTTTATCCCTTGCAGGAAAAAGAACAAATTACCTTAAGCCAGTTGTCTCTGGTAGATCTTGCTGGAAGTGAAAGAACCAACCGGACTAAAGCAGAAGGGAACAGATTACGTGAAGCTGGTGAGTGCCGTGCTGTACTTTTTTTGTTTTGTTTTGTTTTGTTTTGTTTTTCGAGACAGGATTTCTCTGTATAGTTTTGGTGTCTGTCCTGAATCTCACTCTGTAGACCAGGCTGGCCTTGAACTCACAGAGATCCACCTGCCTCTGCCTCCCAAGTACTGAGATTAAAGGCGTGCACCACCACTGCCCAGCTGCAGTGCTGTACTTATTTATGGTTATAACTTTCAACAGCTTGGAATGACAGTTTGTATTTATTAACGGGTGGTTTCTGCTTAATCAGTGAAATAACATTGACTATTAAACTTAGCCTTTAAATCTGCTATTTTTTTTTAAATATTAACATTTTATTTGCGTGTGTATACACCTCAGAGTGTGCATAAAAGTCAGAAGGTTAACTTTCCAGGCACTTGTGGTTATCCTGCCTCAGCCTTCTGAGTGGTGGTATTTCAGGCATGTATCATTATGTCTAGCTAAATGATGTGTCTGATAGCCGTATTGGAGTTAGGAGGTCTTAGTGTTCCAAGATGAACAGTTTTAAACACTTGGGAGTCTGATCGAGATCTGAATTTTTAGAGGTGTTAAGGTTAATATATCAGCCTTGTCTTGGCTCAGAAATCCAAATAAGATAAGTCAGAAAAAGAAAGCATGATGACTAAGAAATCCTGTTGAGATGTAGAGGGACAGAGTTTGCTGGCTTCTAAGACACTTGACTGTTAGAAACATGTTCCTAACATGTTTCTAACATAGGAGGGACTTTTGTCCCTTTCCCACTATAGACTGAAATGGTCACTTGGGATATGGCTGGCCTCCTGTGTATGAGGCTCCTGAGTTCAGTCTCCAGCATCACCTCCCCTAAAAAATGAAAGGAAGCAAGCCAAGTTAATGAGTTTGTCTATGCCGGGATTTAGGGTTTGGAAAAACCTGTTCACTGTTCTATTGCTGTGAGGAGACACTACCACCAAGGCCACTTATCACTTAAGCACTAGGGAAGTGCTTAGCTGGGGGCTTGGTTACAGTTTCAGGGCTGGTCCATGACCATCCTGGCGGGGGAAAGGCAACAGGGGGCATGCTGCTGGAGCAATGGCTGAGTGCTTATTGTAGAGTAGCTGTGGACCAGATGATTCACAACCATGAGGCCGAGAGAGAGTGCATGCCACCGGGAATGGGCACACCTCCTACTCCTTCCCAAATAGTTCTACCCATTGGAGACCAAGCAGTCAAACCTGAGCCTCTGGGGGCCATTCTCATTCCAACCACCAGAAAATTGTCATGCATTTCCAGGCTAGAGAAATGGCTCAGCAGTTAGGCTTTCTTTTTGCATCAGGTGTGGTGGCGCACACCTCTAATCGCAGCACCTGGGAGGCAGAAGCAGGTGGGTTTCTGTGAGTTTAAGATCAACCTGGTCTACAAGGCAAGTTCTAGGACAGCCAGGGCTGTTATACAGAGAAACCTTGTCTTGAAAAACCAAAAAACTAAAGAGTACTTGTTCCTCTTCCAGATGACTTGAGTTCACATTTTTTAATATCCACATTACAGCCGGGCGGTGGTGGTGCATGCCTTTAATCACAGCACTTGGGAGGCAGAGGCGGATCTTTGTCAGTCCGAGGCCATCCTGGTCTACAGAGCGAGATCCAGGAAAGGCACAAAGCTACACAGAGAAACCCTGTCTCAGAAAAAAAAAAAAAAAACCCAAAACAAAACAAAAAATCCACATTACAGCTTACAACTGTCTGTAACTCCAGTTCCAGGGGGTCCTATATGCTCTTCCTGCCTTTGTGAGCATCAAACACATGAAGTATATTTACATATATGCAGGCAAAACACTCAAAAGAATAAAAATAAACAAAGCTTAAAAAGAGATTCTCAGGGCTGGAGAGATGGCTCAGCAGTTAAGAGCACTGGCTGTTCTTTCTGAGGTCCTGAGTTCAATTCCCAGCACTCACATCTTGGCTCACAACCATCTGTAATGAGATCTGGTGCCCTCTTCTGGCATGCAGGCAGAACACTGTATAAATCTTTAAAAAAAAAAAAAAAAAGAGATTTCTTTTTATTTTTTTTTTTAAGAAGAGTAATATTGTATTTGGGGGTCTTTTTAATGGAGTCTCTGAAAGATGGTTATTGAAGCTGTTAAGTGTTTTCTTTTTGGGGGTCCCACCACACAGCTCCCAAATAAATTACATACACAGAGGCTTATTCTTACTTATAAACGCCAGGCTTTAACTTGGCTTGTTTCTAGCCAGCTTTTCTTAACTTAAAATTATCCTGTCACCCTTATGCCTCTGGGCTTTTCCCATTCTCTACTTCTGTAAATCTTACTCTTATTCTGTGGCTGGCTGTGTAGCTGACCCCTGATGTCCTCCTTTTCTTGCTCCTATATCTCTCCTCTCCCAGATTTCTCCTTCTATTAATTCTTTCTGCCTGCCAGCCCCCACCCATCCTTTCTCCTGCTTTGCTATTGGCCGTTCAGTTCTTTATTAGACCATCAGGTGTTTTAGACAGACACAGTAACACAGCTTCACAGAGTTAAACAAATGCAACATAAAAGTAACACACCTTAAAATAATATTCTACAATTAATTAATACTGTTGAAAGTATAGTGGGACCATACATGGACAGCTCTTGAACTTGAGCCATGAAAATCTATTTCTCAACAGTTAAATGAAGTTGAAGTTTTTTGTTTTTTGTTTTTTGTTTTTTAAAGATTTATTTATTATGTATACAGTATTCTGCCTGCCTGCATCCCTGCAGGCCAGAAGAGGGCACCAGATCTCATTACAGATGGTTGTGAGCCACCATGTGGTTGCTGGGAATTGAACTCAGAGCCTTTGGAAGAACAGCCAGTGCTCTTAACCTCTGAGCCATCTCTCCAGCCTGAAGTTGAAGTTTTACAGTTATATGGATGAATTACATTCGCTGTTTTCAAATGTTCTCTGTATCTGACTTCCTCTCAGGTAACATTAATCAGTCACTAATGACGCTAAGAACATGCATGGAAGTCCTGAGAGAGAACCAGACGTATGGAACCAACAAGGTACACAACAGCCTTCATCAACCACTTTGTGGTTTAATCATGCATTTTAATTGTCTAATGTGCTTAGCTTTTGAATGTCTTTATAGATGGTTCCATATCGAGATTCAAAGCTAACTCATCTGTTCAAGAACTACTTCGATGGGGAAGGGAAGGTGCGGATGATCGTGTGTGTGAATCCAAAGGCTGAAGACTATGAAGAAAGCTTGGTAATTTAAGCCTATTTGTCCTGTACAGTTGGGTTTCTCTAGGGAAAACAGCTACTTGAAGAATGGCATACTGGCCCAGTAGTGGTAATGCATACCTTTAATCCCAGCACTTGGAGACAGAGACAGGCAGATCTCTCTGTGAGTTCAAGGCCAGCCTGGTCTACAGAGCTAGTTCCAGGACAGGCTCCAAAGCTACAGAGAGAAACCCTGTCTTGGGGGAAAAACAAAGAATGGCAAACTGCACATTTTGTAGATTGATATAGGCTCACTGGATATGCAAATGAATTCTTTAGCCATCTGTGAAGGAAGACTTGGGGATGCTTTTATAGACTCTGCTTTTTATTTTAGCAAGTCATGAGATTTGCTGAAGTAACCCAGGAAGTTGAAGTAGCGAGACCAGTAGACAAGGTGATATGTGGCTTGACACCAGGGAGACGATACAGAAACCTGCCTCGGGGCGGCCCAGTTGGAGATGGTATGATTTCCTGTTATATCATTATTCATTTGCTTGTCTTTCTGTCAACTTTAAAAAAAAATCTTTTTACACCCTTCTTAACAACCAAATGAAAGAAACTTCAAACTAAAATGTAAGGTTTGCTTGGTTGTACGTTTTGTCTAATTTTTGAGAAATTCTATGCCTAAAGCAGGGCGTAGTGAAGCATACCTGTAACTCGAGCACTGAGTAAGCAAAAAAAAAAAAAAAATTACAATTCTGTGGTTACTGGTTCAGGGGTTCTGCTCACAGTATCAGACTTGCTGAAGCTCTTTCATAACTGTTAAATTCCACACAGAACCTTTGGTGACTGAGATGACTCTACAGAGCTTCCCACCACTGCCTCCATGGAGACTTCTGGATATCAACGATGAAGAGACCCTTCCGAAGCTGATTGAAACGTTGGAGAAACGGCATCACCTACGCCAACTAATGACTGAGGAGCTTAACAAACAATGTAAGGGCAGAGCTGCTTACAGCTGCTGTGACTTCAGAGGTAGAAACAGGTCTTAGTGACTCCATCTAGTGAGCCTCCTCTTGTTTTTAAGACTTGTTTCTAGGCTCTGCAGTGGTCTCAAGGTGTTTAATTTGAATGGAAAGGTTTTGTTTTCCTCAACAGCTCTATTTTACTTTTATTTTTAAAGAATATAGGAAGAAAAAAGTGAGTGTCTCCCCATCTATGTTTATTTTTAATAGTGATGGACACAAGATGGTGTTTTATAGTTTTCCCCTGTTTGCAAGTTATTTATACTTTTTAATTGTACTTCAAGATGGCGTAGGGAAAAGTGAAATAATGTTTGAAAATGTGTAGAACAGTTGAACAAGTCTGGCCCATGGAAGTGACTATGTCTCCGTGAGTGACCAAGTAGTGTGCCAGGGTCTTCAGCCCAGGCTCAGCTGATCTCAAATACAGGATTATTTCTGTTTTTGCATTTGTAAGCAAACTTTAAGTGTTAGGGAAAGGTTACTAACTACTTCTGTCAACATCTCTTATAGATTTGAGAATCAAACTCCTGATTTCTTTCCAAACTTGTTTTAATCTTTTTCATTTTTTGGTATTGAACCCAGGGCATCATGAATGTACAGAGTAGACACGTACAGGCAGCTGCATTCCCAGCCTTTCTTATGGACAGCTGCCATAGGGGGTTTTGCTAGAGTGCTACATTCTACCGAGTGTCTGCCAATGAAAGCTGGTTTTATTTTGTATCTGTATTAAACAGCACAATCCGTCTGCTTTGTTTCAGGTATGACTTTCAAAGCCTTATTAAAAGAATTTGACAATTCTATTTCAAATAAAGAAAACTACACTCAGGAAAAACTAAATGAAAAAGAAAGATTGATTTCAGGACAGAAATCAGAAATAGAACGACTGGAGAAGAAAAACAAAACTCTGGAGTATAAGGTTCGTGGTCACATTGTCACTGGTGTACTGACCATTCCGCACTTCTCTCACAACGACTAATGTGCCTGTCACTGCTGTGCGGGATGAGGGAGGAAGGGACTCTAGTCTTTTCATCTTAGGAGTGGAGCTTAGCTCGAGGAGATGCAGGCACCTGGCTTGTGAGGGGCTTGTTGTGTAACTTCTGTCTCTGTGTGTGTGTGTGTGTGTGTGTGTGTGTGTGTGTGAGCAACTGAAGGGCTATTGTACAGTTAGGTGGGATGTTTGCACAGCAGATGCTAAGCAGGGTGGTCTCTCTGCAGATTGAGATTTTGGAGAAAACAACCACGATCTATGAAGAAGATAAGCGCAATCTGCAGCAGGAGCTTGAGAGCCAGAATCAGAAGCTTCAGCGGCAGCTTTCTGACAAGCGCAGATTAGAAGCCAGGTTGCAAGGCATGGTGACAGAGACGACGATGAAATGGCAGAAGGAGTGTGTGAGTGTTCCTCTAGGTTAAATATTTTGCATTTCTGTGCTTGTGGCAGAGCTTTGGTGGTGTCTGTTAATCTCTGGAAGAAGTAGAGAACTGTCATTTTCCAGGAATAAAGTGGGTGGTGCGGTGTGCTTATGCAGAGAGATAAAGTAGACTGTAACTTGCTGTGGATCGCTGTAGGATCGTCGGGTAGCAGCCACCCAGCTGGAGATGCAGAATAAACTCTGGGTCAAAGATGAAAAGCTCAAACAGCTGAAGGCCATTGTGACTGAACCTAAATCTGAGAAGCCAGAGAGACCCTCCCGGGAGCGGGACCGGGAAAAAATCATTCACAGATCTGTTTCTCCTTCGCCTGTGCCTGTAAGTGTTTGCAGCTGTGTGTAGCTTAGTGCTAGAGAAAAGTTTCTCCATTTAGAGGAGTGTTTCTCTGTGAGAATTGTTTTGTTTCATGCCATTTTTTTTTTTTTTAAATTTAGCACAAAGGGGCAGAGCATGGCAGCACATGCCCTTTAATCTCAGCATTTGGGAGGGAGGTCGAGACAGGTAGATCTCTGTGAGTTTGAGGCCAGCCTGGTCTACACAGAGTTCCAGACCAACCAGGGCTACATAGTGAGTCCCTGTCTCAAAAACAACAAAAGCATATCACAAAAATTTTAATGACTGCGAATAGTTTCTTGCAATGTTAAATCTTCATGTAGTAAAATTGTAGAAAAGTAATATTGTTTCTCTCAGTTCTTCACTCTTATTCATTAATTTTTCTCCAATTTTTCTAGCTTTCTAGTAACAATATTGCTCAGATTTCCAACGGCCAGCAACTCATGAGCCAGCCACAGCTACACAGGCGCTCTAACTCTTGCAGCAGCATTTCTGTAGCTTCCTGTATTTCGGAGTGGGAGCAGAAACTGTCTCCGTTCAGCACACCTGTCAATGTCACCTCTCTTGCAAGGCATAGGCAGCAGGAGCCAGGACAAAGTAAAACGTGTATCGTGTCAGACAGAAGGCGGGGCATGTACTGGACGGAAGGCAGGGAGATGGTCCCTACATTCAGCAGTGAGATAGGCGTCCAAGACGACCGCTGCCGCAGGGTTAGTGCCAGCATTCTTTAAAGCACTGTAGTGGTAGAATTATCTCCTTTGCTCTTTGTAACTCGGTTCCAAAAAAGTTCGAGGGAAAGCTGGGCAGGCTCCAAAATGAAGAAGCTCTGATTTTTCTGTTCAAGACTGAGCCATCCTGAAATGGAGGCTGAGCTCTCGATGTGAGAAAGCAGAAGCATGTGCCCGTGAGCTGGGAATGCCAGCCAGCATGGTGCCCCTAGAGTAGACTGCTCGCCCGACCAAGGGGCGTTGCACAGAATCTAGGGACATGAGTGTCTTGCTTCCTTGATCCCCCCCCACCCCTCGTTTTTTCCTTTTCTCCTCCTCCTGCTCCTTTTTCCCCCTTGTTGCTGGGGACGGAGCCTAGGGTTTCGACATTATAAGACACTGAGCTCTATCACTGAGCCATAATCCCCCCAATACAAATATGAATATAGAAGCCTATACTTTTTTTTTTTTTCTCTTTTGGTTCCCCTTCCCCAAATTTAATTTTTTTCTTACTGTTTTTTTTAGGGGGTGGTAATAAGTTTTTCATTTTGAAAGTTTAATGGGTTAGAGACTCTCCTGCCTCTGGCAGAGTCGTTATTTTATGCAATCTTTTATCGTCTGAGGCACTCCAAAGTAAGTCACAGATGCCATGACACTCAACAAAAGAGCATTTCCTGTGTAACCACCATCTTTTGTAACCACCGTCTTTACCCCTTTGAAGGAAGACAGTGTATTTTATGTGGAGAGTCTCTCACTATCCTGCCTGTCCCAGTAACAGCCTTTCCTTTCAACCCATGCTGCTGTCCAGATGCATGCACTGCATGTGGCCATCACAAATCTTTCATCGCTTTAATATAAAATATGCTTCCTCCTTTTTGATTTCTGTGACCTGAACTGTTTGAAACTACTGACAGCCTTCACATCCTAAACTTTTAATCTTGAGGCCTTACAAGGCCTTCAAGGGTGATTAACTAAACCCAATTCATGTTTTCTTCAATATTAAGATTAAAATTTCCTTTGAAGTTGAATAAATAATCACACCAATACTGTGAATTAGATAGTCAATAAAATCTTAACTGCTCTTTTAAAATTATTCTTTTAAGTAAAATGATCTTGCAGTAAATACTTTCTTAAGATCCTCTTACATGCCCGGTGGTGGTAGTGCCTTTAATCCCAGTAGGGAGTCAGAGGCAGGCGGATCTCTATGAGTTTGAGGCCAGCCTGGTCCACAGAGTGAGTTCCAGGACAGCCAGGGCTGTTACACTGAGAAATCCTGTCTCAAAAACTAAAAAGATCCTCTTACATGATTTAGAATGTAGATAAATGCCCTGCAATCTGATTACTAATGATGGTGACCAGTCTTGGGTTCTTATAAGGCAACAGACAATTCTGTAGTCTCAAGTTCTTGCTTTGCAGATTTTACTTTTAGGGAGCAGATCATGGTGAATGGTCTTTGTGATCACCTCTAGTAAATCCTCCTCTTCTGTGTCAAACTCCAACCTGCTGGGAGGTCTGTTTACACCTGCCAGCAGTAAGGGAATGCCTGACTTGGCTGTGACGGTCAGGGGGATGTACTAAGACACAGACTTTAACTTCTTTCTTGAAATCCAAATCTCTTTAGAAGTGCAGCAGAAAAGTTCCCATGCGGTTAGTTATCTCTGTGTCCATGCTCAGTGGCCAGAAATTATCAGGTGGACTGGGCTTTACATTTTGGTGTGGAAAGAATTTCAAAATTGTCATGACTGCTAATCGATTTTCTGCAGTCTGTCTCCTTTTCAGAGTTTGATCTGAATGTATTATGCTGTAAATGTGTTCAAGGAATCTCTTCTGCCAAGTGCTAGATCCTAAGAGCTAGGCTTTCTGATTCAACATCAGTCAGACCATTTTCAGAATGGAATGGTTTCTGCCTGCATGGACGCTCAGTGTCTTTAGTGGCAAGTTGTAGTGACTGTTGTAGAGCTGAGTTAGAGCTGCCCTGAGTTGGTTTCCTGTAACTGAACAACTGAACCAGGATCCTCATTTGGCTAGGTAGGAAGGGTTCTGCCTGCAGACTCTCATTTATTTTCAGTTTCATAAACAGGAGACGCTCACAGTTGTTTATGTGCTACTATATCATGTACATGAAATACGTTTTCTTGAGTTGAATGTGCTGTTTAACTTGGCACCCATGGCATTTGACTGGAAAACAACTAGTTTTTATTATATGATACAAGCTGATTTCATACTATAGTCTTTGCTTCTTGGAGCTTTTAAGAGACATTTGGAGAAAAAAAAATGTTGGTATATTTGAAGCTCTGTGGAATTGTGTTTTGAGATATAAAAATCCTTACTGCAAGTGCTCAGAAGTACTTAACACTGTTCAGGCATGCTGCACGTGAAGTTCTTCAGGGTTTTGCTAAGCCAGAGCTTCAACAGCTTGTAGTCTTTTGGTCTGGCTGTATATGGAGGAGTGGTTTCTATTTAGATGCCTCAGACATACTTTAGTGTTGTATTATTGATCCTGCTGATACCTGTAACCAACCTGCTAATCTATGTATTACTTCACAAAGCAGGTATAAGAATTAGTTTTTAATCAAGAATGCAAAATGGATTATTTTTTCCTCAACTAGCTATAAACAAGAAGATCTAGAGTCACCACAATTTTATCTTTTGCCTTTTGTTGAAATGGAAGCTCCCATATGACCATTCTCTCTAGATACTATTGTCTAAAGATGTGTGTTGGTTCTGTTTGGCTAAGAGAACATGAGATGACGTACACATTTAGCTTGGACAGGATTGATTCTGTTGTTGTGAATTTGCATTGTAAACTGCTGCACTTCTAACAGTACCTCAAAGTAATCCTGGGTTGTGCTTGTTTCTCAATTCCTCTTCCAACCTGATCAGAACACACCAATTCCTGTACGACACAGAAGGTCCCGCTCTGCAGGGAGCAGATGGGTAGATCATAAGCCTGCCTCTAATGTGCAAACTGAGACAGTCATGCAGCCACATGTCCCTCACGCCATCACAGTGTCTGTTGCAAATGAAAAGGCACTAGCTAAGTGTGAGAAGTACATGCTGACCCACCAGGAACTAGCCTCCGATGGGGAGATTCAGACTAAAGTAATTAAGGTAAAAACAAGTCTTTACAAAAGAATACCAATGAAAAATCTTTGCCCTGCTATCCCTTGATGAGATCTAGAACATAAATGGGGTGTTGGGTGGAACTTTTGTTTTATTGGAAAATTAATGTATTACTTAGATTGTAAATCTGCTGGGTCTGGATCTACTTAAATAGGTCTAGAGTCTTGGGGTTGTTAGTACTCCAGATCCATGATGAACTTTAGTTACTACATATTTAGCTAAAACTTAGCTTCAAAAGTAAACCCAGAGCCATATGGACAACTTGATTGAACTTGAGAGGCCAAGGCAGATGGGTCACCAGTTTGAGCCCATCCTGGAGCACATAGTTGTCTTGAAAACCCAGACAGCAACAGAAAGCAGGCATAACAACCATCTTCTGCTTTGCTATTATTTCAAGATAAAATGTTTGCATTAACACTTGTCCTATGCTAGGCGGTGGTAGCACTCGCCTTTAATCCCAGCACTCAGGAGGCAGAGGCAGGTGGTTCAAGACCAGCTTTGTCTACAGAGTGAGTTCCAGGACAGTCGGGGTGACACAGATGAAATGCTCCCCCCCCAAAACAAACAAACAAAAACGTGTCCTGTGGTCAGGCATGGTGGTACTTGCAGGAGGATCTCAGTTAACAGTCTCAAATTAATAACGCACAAAATCTGGGAACATCACTCAATCGTTTCAAGTTGAGAGGACAGTTCTAATTCAGACTGCTGCCACCAGAAGGACAGCAGCACCTTAAACGTGGAGCTGCCTCTGCTGGGTCAATTTAGCTTTTAAATTTATAGGTGCAATAAAATATTTTCCCTGTAGCTAGGAATGTTATGGTTATCTTGTGCTAGACTCTTGTTAGTGAGAGGTGGACTGAGGTTTCTGAAGCATTTGATCAATAGATTCAGTAGCTCAAGGGTCTTTTGGGTTTATGGGTGAGAGTTTCAGCTATGCCTGCCTGTCGGTTGGATGTATCAAAGTGTAACAGTGACCTTTTCTCTTGGATTTAGGGTGATGTTTTTAAGACCAGAGGTGGTGGACAATCTGTTCAGTTTACTGATATAGAGACTTTAAAACAAGAGTCGCCGACTGGGTGAGTTGGTGTCAAATCTCTCTCTAAAGGGCTGTTTCTTAGGCTCTTGTTCTTAGGAACAGAATATCCTGTGAGGTTTATCATTTATTCTCCGAGGCAGGGGTATAGGTGGTTTCTCCCCTTCTAATGTTTTCCATTCTTCTTAGATGCAAAAATGATTGTTGCATCATGTTTCCCCTTTTTCAGTAGTCGAAAACGAAGATCGTCCACAGTAGCACCTGCCCAACCAGATGGTACAGAGTCTGAATGGACCGATGTAGAAACAAGGGTAGGGGTAAAATTAAATACTTGCTTGCTAAAATTAGCCGCATAGTGCTGTAGCACTTTGTGCTCTTTGAACTTGCTAAGGCAGAACCACATACTGCCCATGCCGCCTGGAGACCTGTAACTAACATTCTGGTAGGGCACTTGCATACTAGAAGTCCTCTGTGTATGTGCACGTGCGTGCGTGCGTGCGTGCGTGCGTGCGTATGTATGTGTATGGGGGGTGATGAGGGGTCAAGAGTGGATCCGGAAGTATTGCTCCAGACTAACAAAACTCATAGCAGATAGACTAACCCACAGCCGTGCCCAGTGCTCCCTGTGACTATTACCTCTGAGGAAAGGCTCCTCAGGGAGGAATCAGGCAAGGCCTGGCCACCAGCGTCTTCAGGACCTCCTCTCTCTCCATCCTTACCTAAGATGCAAAGATACCTGGGCACTCTCCCAGGCCCTTCTTGCTCTTGTTGCCTGTGCAGAAATGGATCGTAAGCATGGGACTAGTGGTTTAACCTAGGTGTCTTCGCTGAACTAGCGCAGTGTTGGATTTCATCGCAGTAGAGCCCATCTACATGGACGTCTGCTTCTGATCGTTGGAGCTGACCTTTCCCTGTTCTGTCCCTTTCCTCTAGTGTTCCGTTGCTGTTGAGATGAGAGCAGGATCTCAGCTGGGCCCCGGATATCAGCACCATGCACAACCCAAGTGAGCACCACGGCCAGCCCTGCTGTGTCCTCCCTCCCTCTCCCAGGCTTTCTTTCCATCACCACTGCTGCTCTAGCTGCGCCTCACTCTGCTTTACCTGGGCCCTGCTGACAATGTGTGGTCGGCCTTTGTAGTGCCGAGCTCTCCAGAGTGCTGTAAGAGCTGCTGGAGGGGAGGTGTCAGCAGATTGGTGGCTTTTGCTCATACTTGGCCACTTCTCAATCTTTGAGACTGAGCTGAAAGCCACCTGGAAAGAGGTGAAGGGGGCATATCTTTCTCTATTAAATATGACAAAGAGTATAATACACAAAAAATGTTGAATACCAGCTGCCTTTGGGGTCACAGACAAGGCTTTGCTCTCAGCTAAGGTCTCTGATTTCTTTGCACTTCTGCAGGATGACTCAGACACTGGGGATGACAGTGTTGTGTCTGTCACTCTTACCTAATGGACCTCATGGTTTTGGAACAGGGGTACATGTTCTATAGATAGGTGAAGCATGGTTTGGAACAGGGGTACATATTCTATAGATAGGTGAAGCTGAATGCCAGAATTCATGTTGAAGGAAGCACACATTTGCTCTGTTAAATCCACACAAGGGAGCTAGCCTATTTTTCCGTATTTCATAAAACCAATGTTTATACATCTCACTCTACATTTTTAACCTTGGGTTGGTTCCTTGGGTGATTGGGAAGGTGGCTGCAGTGGGCTAAGAACAGGAAGTTACCTCCTGTTACATTCTGCATGTTACTTGCTTGCTCCAAGGACTTGAGTTTTCTTCTGATAAAAGGAATTCTCACAGCCTTCCTAAGGAATCATTTGTCTTGACTGTGTCGCTAAATGCAGAATTCAATATTAAATGTTGCTTTTTGTGTTTTAGGCGCAAGAAGCCTTGACCTGACAGCTCTGGTAGCAGAAGAATGTTTTCCTTTGTGTTGGTGATTTCTCCAAAGCTGTGCCAGACACCGTGTCTGAGTCACCCTGCAGAAGAATGTATCTAGATCACATCGTATTTTTTATTGTGACTTTTCCAACTGTTCTGAATATTTTCTAAGGTTTTATAAAAAAACAAAAAACAAAAATGCTGCTATTGATTAGCCGCAAAAAAATGCACTTTAGACATATTTAACAATTAAGACTTTCAAAATAAAGATGGTGACTGGCCAATGGTAAAGCCATTTTAGGAAGGTGTTTAGAATTCTGTATGTATATATTCACTTTTTGCTTTTATATATGCCAAAAGAATTGAAATAAAAAGCACTAAGAAGCACAGAGTTGTGGAGTGGACACTCACTCAGCATGCTCCCAAGCACCTTCAGTGTCCTGTTTATCTGGTACTTGGTATTAGTGGGATACAATAAGGGAGAGCACTAGAGAATAGAAACTTGGCTGTGTTGTATGAGCGTGAGATGTTGAGACCATGATTGGAAAAAGCACAGGCACAAATAGCCAAACTAGTAGAAACACATGAACTATGAACCAATAGATGAGTCCCCATGGAACTGGATCAGGCCCTCTGGATAAGTAAGACAGTCGATTAGCTTGAACTGTCTGGGAGGCCCCCAGGCAGTGGGACTGGGACCTGTCCTTAGTGCATGAGCTGGCTTTTTGGAGCCTGGGGCCTATGCTGGGACCCTTTGCTCAGCCTGGGTGAAGGGAGGAGGGGACTGGACCTGCCTGGACCGAATCTACCAGGCTTGAGCTGACTCCCCAGGGGAGTCCTTGCCTTAGAGGAGATGGGAATGGGGGGTGGATTGAGGGGAGGGGGG